AAAAAGGATCTATACGAATAAGATCAGATCTAGTCAAGCTATAAGTAGTGGATGGAATAGAAAAGAAAGGTATATGCTCAAGAAAAATAACATGACGAGATACATAAAATTTTTGAGTTATTGGATCAAAACAACAATACTCCTTTTTACCTTCACCATATCCAAGAAAGACACAAATAGCAGATCGAGAGAACAGTTTGTTGCGTTCAACATGAGGACGAAGAATAAAACAAGTACAACCAAAAACTCTAAATGAAGAATAATCAGGGGCATAACCATACAACTTTTCGAAAAGAGAAACACCTGAAATATGAGAAGATGGAATTGTATTAATTAAACCTAAAGTAGTAAGAACAGCTTCACCCCAAAACTCACTAGGAATAGAAGAAGACAACAAGAGAGAATGAGTAGTTTTAACAATGTGCCTATGTTTTCTTTCAGCAACACCATTTTGCTTAGGAGTATCTGTACACGAAATTTGGTGAATAGTTTCATCTAAGGCAAGCAACTCAACAAATTTATTAAAAGTGTATTCCCCACCCAAATCACACCTAAAGTATTTGATAACAACAGAATGTTGAGTTTTGATAAGAGCTCGAAAGGCTGTATATATCTCAAAGAATTTAGAACGATGTTTAATTAAATAAATTCAACAATAACGAGTATGATCATCAATAAAAGAAACATAATATCGAGACCCTCCTTTTGCGGTAACAGGAGAAGGTCCTCATACATCAAAATGAATCAAATCAAATGGAGAAGAAGAAACATATATACTTCGATTAAAAGGTAAAGCTGAAAATTTTGCCAGTTTACATCCACTACAATCAAAAATATCACAAATTTTCAAATTTCCTAAAGCCCCTGTGGATGCCAAAAATCTCAAACGAGAAGACGAAATATGACATAAACGAGAATGCTATAAATAAAAACTAGAAGAAGAAAGACTCAAACGAAAAGAAGATAAATCAACACTAGTAGCAGCAGCAGAAACTGACATTTTTAACTCATTCAAAATATATAGTCATCCCTTCCTACGGCCTGTCCTAATCAGCTTCTGAGACTGCAGATCCTGCACATAACAAGAAGAAGAGGAAAATGTGACTAAATTTTCAGAATCACATAACTGACCAATAGAAATAAGATTTAATGTGAGTTTTGGAATATGATAAACATTAGGGAGAGACAAGTAAGGTGTGACAACAGAACCAACGCCTGGTAAAGGCATAGGAATGCCATCAGCAGTCATAACAGGAATAGAAGATGAATGAGATACAAAAGCAAAAGATGAAGAATCTGGAGACATATGATGTGAGGCACCAGAATCCAAGACCCATACAGAATGTGACATACCTGGAGAACTATGAGGCAACTGATCTCCTGAAGAAGAAGCAGACATAGCTTGTGACTATAAGGAGAGAAACTTTTGAAATTGCTCAGCCAAAGTACTAGAATTGATGAAAGGACCTGATGAAACTATTGCTGCAGTATTAGACTGTGGTGGTTTGTAACCCTGAGGTGGTCTAGAAGCATTAGATTGTGATTGGTTGTCAGACTTTCAAGCTTGATATTGCTGTTGTGATTGATTCTTCTGTCTTAACTTAGGACATTGAGCTTTCCAATGACCTTTCTTCTTACAGTAACTGCACTCGTCAAAGGCAGGTCTTGTGTAAGGCTTATTCTGATTATGAGAGAATGGTTTAGAAGGTACTACTAGCACAGAAGGATCAGCAGTAGAAAGAATTCCGTTGTCAGAATAAAACTTAAGACGTATCTCTTCAGCCAATAACTCACTGACAACTAAGTCAACAGAAGGAAGTGGAGAACGTTGCAAAATTGAACCTCTAAGTCCTTCAAAATCACTACGAAGTGCCATCAAAAATTGTACCAACCGTTGCTGCTCTCTACGAGCAATATAAGCACCACATGCCTTTAATTCAACAGATTTTGTAAGAGCCAATTAATCCCAAAGATCTGTCATAGCAGAATAAAATTCGTGAATACTCATATTCTTCTGTTGAAGAGCAAGTATGTCATGCTCCATTTGATACTGCTTTGCAAAATTTGATTGAGTTAATAACATTTGCGGATGATCCCAAACTTCCTTTGCTGTCTCATACTTTGCCAACTGCGTACCTATAGAATGCTCAACAAAATTGTTGATCCAAGTAATAATTTTTGCATTGTCTGCTTCTCAGACATCTATCAAATCAGCATAATCTGCATCAGTATTCTTAGGTTTCATAGAAGTTTCACTAACATATCCCCATAGTTTTTTTACCCTTAAGAAAATTTCTCATCACTTAACTCCAATACGAATAATTCTTTCCATCCAACCTCACACTCACAGACTGAAGCGAATCGCCTCTTGTAGTAGCCATAATCAACAACCAAAGAAAACCAGATTGCAAAAAGGGAACCAATACCAGATTGCAAAAACAGAACAAATACCAGATTGCCAAAAAAATAGAACAAATCCTAGATTGCCAAAAAAAAAGGAACAAATACCAAATTGCTTAAAAAGAAAAAATACCAGATAGCTTAAACGGAACAAATACCAGATTGCCAGAAAAAAGGGAATCAATACCAGATTGGATCCGCGTAAACTGTGTTTGAGATTAAGCCTTGTCCCATGAAACTTTGCTCTGATACCATATTGAACAATCTAAAGACATACAAGAGATAAGAAAGAGAGGAGACTAGGATTTTATTAATACTGCATAATTTTAATTGAATACAAGAGAATAATTTAACCTAAATGCAAAGAGACTATATATAAGTTAAACAAGGTAGGGGAAAGTAAAAGACTATTCTACCCTTAATAAATAAAATGACCCTATATTTCTTAACAATCATACCTCTGGTATGTTAAATCCCTATTACTCCCACTCGCACCATCCCCATCACCCGCATCAGCCGCCACCATCGCCGGTAAACCAGAACCCCTCACTCCATCCCCATCTCCACTTCCATTACCACCTTCCACCAACACCGGTCACACCGCCCCTCCGATATGCCCCACAGTCTCATCATTACCAAGTGAGAGGAGGAGGGGGAAATATGTCTGTTGGGAGTAACCCATTGACTGGGTTTGTAACCCACGGGGAGAGTGGGTTAATTATAACCGGTGTAAGGGGTTTATAAATCACAGTAGCAACCGAGTCAAGGCTTGACCTGTGATTGCTATCCTACCTCAAAAAATGCTTCCCAAACAAAGAATAAATGGGACCCACTACTTTATTTACCTATCCTTATGGTGTTAAGTGTTAACCCCCTTTATCTCACTACCCAAACACACCCATTGGGGTTGGACTTGGACCACTAGTTCATTCTCATGAACTTAGGGACTGTTTGGCAAACGTTTTTGTCCCGTATTTTGTGTTTTTGTTTTCAATTTTTGTCAAAAATGAAAACAAAAATATGTTTGATAACTGTTTTTAGTTTTGTTTTGTTTTTATTGTATTGGAGACAGAAAAAAAATTGAGAATAAAAAATTTGTGTTTCAGAAAACACGCAAAACACAAAACACACGTTTCTTGATTAAATGAGGTCTCAACTTCAAGTCTTGTTATGCACAAAAGACTCGTTCATTTCTCAAAGTATAAATAGAAGTCGTTTTTCTCTCTTCTCCTCTACACAGATCAATTACCTCTCTTCTCCACTCTCAACGACTCTCTCTTCTCTGAAGCTCTCAACGACGAAGACGAATTGACCATCTCTTCTCCGGAGCTCTCAACGACGAAGATGAACCGAAACCCTATCTCTCTCTTCCTTGCTATCTGTGAAACATAGAAACGAAGACACAAATCTGCGCATATATGCCTAGATCTATGCATATTTATGCATAGATTTGTGCATATTTTACAAAGATCTGTGAGTGTGTGTGTGAGAGTGACGGGTTTGTGTGTGTATGTGTTGTCTCTCTGTGTGTGTGTGTGTGTGTGAGTGAGTGACAAACCTGTGTGTGTTTTATGATGCACAGATTTGTGCAAATCTACATAAATCTGTGTGTGCATGTGTGTGTTTGTGTGTGAGAGATAGATGAGTCTGTGTGTCTTGTGTTGTGTTGTATGTGCATTATGTTCTGTGTGTATATGTGTTGTGTTTGGATTAATTGCCAATTCAATTGTCATTTGGAATTGTTCAATTGCGATTTAGAAATTAATTATCATTTGGAATTGATTGAATTGCAATTTGGGATTGATTGAATAGTTATTTGGAATTAAATTACCATTTGGAATTGAGATGTTATAAAACATATTTAGTATAAAATCTAAGGTAATTACCAAACATGTTTTCTGTTTTTATTCTCATAATTTGATAGACAAAAATGACTATCAAACATGTTTTCTGATTAAGTATTTACCACAAAATAGAGACAAAAATTGTTTTTTTTTTTTATGTTTTGAAGACACAAAAACAAAAACGTTACCAAACAACCCCTTAATGTCCAAGTTTATGAAACTTCTTCCGGGGCAGGTCCGTTTTGTGGCTCAAGTCCTTTCACTCCTCATTTGACCTTGTGGGTAACTTTTTGGAAAAACCAATTTTAAGCAGGCCTCTGGGTTGCTTTGTCATTTTAAGGAAAATTTCTAAATTGGTGAAAACATATTTATTAACATATAAATCACATTAAAGAGTGTATACACATATTTATTGATATTACCGTTTATCCATACATGTTTTGGTAAGATTGGAGTGGTGATAAGTATTTATTTGCCTAAACGATACAACGCCATCACAAATCAAGAACACCATTTTGTTTGCACTAGTGAACATGGGAGTGTTAGATTTTTGAAGTCATAGTAAAAAAAGAAACATACACTTCCTTCATTTTCTGAACTCAAAAATACTGTGTGGAGGATTTGTGTTTAATCAAATTAAAGAGAAGATTACTCGAAATATATATGTATAAACTGGCCAGCCAAAGTTAAAAAAAACACTGTGGACATGTGGGGAGAGAGAGAGAGAGAGAGTACATAAGCATAACAAACCAGACACCCTCTGCACCTTTATTATCAGAGATAAAGAAAACAAACTACAATAACGGCTCATAATCTGACATCAGACTCAACACCCTAACCAAGAACTCTTCCAAGTTCCAATTTCAGCGTTTGCTGATTGATTTCATTCACATACAAACGAAATTACCTTCCCAACAAAGGTTGAAACATTTTAAATGACCAATGCACTAACCAACTATGAAGTAAATGGCGGGTGGTCAAACCTCCCACCACTGCCCTTTTCTGCCCGTTAAAAATACGCAGACAGAAACACTTGATAAATGACCTAAAAATGATGAGCACCTCCTTAAAATAAGCCCTCACTCATTTTTTGGACCTAAAAACTGACTCGATCTTATAACTCACCTATTCTTCACTTTAACACACTAACACTAATACAGGACAATTTAGTGCACGAGCTGCCCGTCACTACTGGTCTGAAAGAATCAGATGTGCGTGGTTATCATGTGACAAAAGCTATTTCCGTGACTGAGAACGAAACTCGACTTACTACTGAGGGGCTGATAAATTTGGCAGAGGAGGTGGTGGTGGATTTTAGTTATTTAGGTGAATTGGTCACCGGTGAAGGTTTGGCCAAAGGACCAGCCAGGAGGGACAACATTGTTGCAGAAAACTGTGCTGCCATCACTTGTGATGACCTTGAAAGAGAGGTTCTGTCCATCGAGGTAAGAGTTGCTTTGCCAATTTTGACCCCAGTTTCTGGACATTGGTTCCCAATCAGTGCTTGACCCTTTTATGGAAACAGCATGGACATCACCAGCACCTCCAACGTTGGTGATTAGGACCAAGTTGAAGTAAGAGTGGCCATTTATGGTGAATCTAATTCCCCCTCTCTTCTGGCAGGGTACCCTGCAAGAACCCAAAGCATCAAATTAGAACTTCAGGAAGAATATGAACAACTGTAAGAGCCACGCTTTTTTTTTTTTTTTGGGTCAGTGTACTTAGTTGTAAGGTTGGGTGGAATCCACTATCAATTTCAATCACTGAAATTGCTTAGGTTCTCAAATCAACAAATTAAATCAGTTTAAAAAACATTATTCAGATGTGGGTTTTTTTTTTTTTTTTTTTTTTTTTTTTTGGGGGGGGGGGGAGATATACTATCTGCCATTTAAAAAAAAAAAGAGTAGGAATCCAGTTTAATACATTTTTCTTTAATTTCCTTCAATCGTAGATTAATGCCTCTTGATCTACACTAAAACAAGAAATTGATGAAAAAGCATTTGAGAAAAATTAGATCCGAGAAAGAGGATCTGATTGCCTAAACATATGGACTACAAACAGTGAAAATGTTATTTTTGAGCCAAAAAAACACCACTTTGTGCAAATAAAGTGCAGATTAAGAGTGTATCTATTCCATTGGCCCTTAAATAATGGAGATTAATAGGGGATAATGGTCTGCGCACAAAAGTTCAAATAGGCACATGTCATCCACTCACGCATGCATGCACATATTATATGCATATATATACTCATATAAACATAACTTTGTACTTTTATGAATGTTCACTTCTCAATATAGGTAGGGACATATAAACAATATTACGTGGACTTAGTTTGTTAGTTTAATTCATAACTGTTATGGATCGGTAATAGGTCGGTCAATAACATAAGCATAATAGCTGTGATTGATTAGATCAACAATTTAGTTTGAAAAACATTGATAAGAGGGGGAGTTTTTAATTAGTTAAGAAGGGTCAAGTGCAAACCTTCTGTAAGCCACAGGAACAATCCCAGCTGTGTACTGAGCAATTTGCTGGAATACAGGCTGAGAGAGGTCAAAATGCTCTTGGGGAGGGTTGCACCAGCCACCAGCATTGTTAGGAAGGGCATTGTTAGGAGGGCAGAAATTGGTGGCTGTGACCACAATAGAGCTAGGGAGGCACCACCTTGGGTCATCCACACACCTAATCTCAAAACAAGCCCCACAGCTCAAACCATTGTTGAACAGGGCTGTGCTTAAAGCAGCTGTGTTGGTACCATATCCTTGGCTATATAGGTTCCCATAACCACAGGCCCCACCTGCCCAACAAAACCAGAAATTTAATTGATAGTTCTTTCTACAACTGAAACAGATTGATCTTCTCTATATTGTTCTTTTTGGGCATTTGTGTGTGGTGGTAAATAAGACTGTATATATTTGACAATAGTGGAGAGTCTCATGCACTTAATTATACTTTATATTATATGTGCCTAACACATATAATGTGTGCTTTGGGTAGTAGATGGTGATACATACCCATTGTGTCAGAAGCATCACCACCTCCATAGAAAGTGGCATGAGCATTAGTCCATCCCTCATCATACCCATGAACAGATGAGAGTAGAGAGAGAAAGCCCACCATGAAAAACACGAGAAGAGACATTTTCCTGCACACAAGATTGAACTGTTTGTTAGAGACCTCTGAAACCTGCCAAGTGACCTTGAAGCTCCTTTTTTCTTTTGTTACATTGAAGAAAAGAAAGGGAGCCTCTACTTTTGATTAGTAGAATAACAAACAATTCAAGGGTTCAAAGAAAAACCCAACACGTATGCTCTTAGAAGTGAGAGAAAAATGGTTACATCATACACTTACCTAGAGAGAGAGAGTAAGATGTGGGTTTGTGAGGCAATGGGCTGGGGTTGGGGTGCGTATAAATAGATGCTAAGCTAGGCCAACACTGCCTTGCAAAGCCAACATCACCCCCCACAGACGCTTTTGGTTGTGGGGACTCACAAACGCCAGGTGCTAGAAGTCTTTTGTTTATATGAAGGAAGCAGTTTTGGCTTGACACCACGTGGTTCAAAACCTCTGCATGGCTCGCTGTTTGTATCCAAGTAAAATTGTCTTAATGACGTTTTCAAAAGGATAACAAAGTCTCTAACTCACAATACAACCAAGTTTGTAGGGACAGTACAGTGGCTTAATTCTCTCTCCAAGTATATATGTATTATAAAACTCCAAGGGATTATTCAAGAAACAAATTGAAAATTCAAATGTTCTGAATTTGAATTTTTGTAATTTTTTAGAATCATATCATGAGGAATTTATCGATTATGAGCAGCTTAATCTCAACGTAAATGGTATATCTTTAACCAGATCGATGAAAAAATCAGTCAAAGTGCGTATAAGGTAATCCGAATATCTCTGACATTTAAAAAAAAAAAATACATTTATAAGGAGGTTCCAAATGGTATTAGTTTGGTTAATTTGCAATGCCACAGGTTTATACATTTTATTTGGTCACCAATTTGGTTGAGGGTAACACAAAATTAAGTAGTCTACTCTCCTCCCTTCGAGGGTAAGTGAGCCCGATATTCGTTTAAACGGATCGTAGATCCTATAACATTGTCAATTGAGTAATGGTAGATGGACTTAAAAATTAGATTTGATAATCTCAATCATTGAATAGGTAGTGAGTCTCAATAAATGCTAGGACCCACAGTGAAATCAATGGTTAAAATTATCAAGTCTAATTTTTAAGTTTATTTTTTAAATTCATGTAACATTGCTCTGTCAATTACCATCTTGGGTTCGTTCGAATTAATGGCAGTAGTGTCTTCACCTCTCAAATGTAGGGGTGATAATTTTTAATATTACACCAAAACACGATTTGAAATCGATATAAAATATAGGTGTTAGAGTTGATTATTTTTCAACACGAATCTATAAAATACACGACTTATGAATATGAATAATAAATGAATCGAGTTAGTGTCAAACACAAATAACACAAAATTGACACGGCTAACACATTTAACTAGTGTTACAGGATTTGTTATTTTTTATTAAATATTGACATAATTCTTATACAAAAGAAATGTTTTTACTCATTTTTGTTATTACTATTATTAAATTAATTTTAATTTATATAAAAAGTACTAGTGCGCGTTCAATTAAGTAATAATAGAATCTTAGATTTAAATATCAACATTAAATTTTTAATTTATAAATTACACGAATATAACACAAAAATAAGCAAGTCAGGTTAATACAATACAATTAATTAAAAAGATTGAATTAAAATTGATTAATGACGAACCCGTAAATAACATGATACGGAAGTTGACATGACTGTCAAGCTTACTCAAATGGTATGTATCAGATTCAACCTTTGCAAAAGATCACGTACGCTTACTCAAATGTTCTATCGTGTATTTCTTGTACAACATGATCAAGTTTGGACCGCATATCGAGAATTATCTCATTTGAACTATCTAATAAAATTAATAGTCGAGATTATTAAGTCTAATTTTTAAATTTATTTTTTAAGTTCATGTAATATTACTCTTTTTAATAAGTAAATCTTACATCAATTTAATTACCCAAAAAAAATCCTAATTTTAATGAGCATTCTTGAGATTCATCAGTATTTCAGAAGTGAATGAGAGACTCACTTGTATATAATAAATTCTACTTGAATAAATAATAAATAAAATGTCAAAAAATATTAAAAAATATATATATTAAAAGCGACCTCGCTCGGATTTTCATATTAAAAAAAGAATAATGTTAGACTGGCTAAATTTTAGAACCAAATTTAGAACTCAAATGACATGACAGTTGATTATTTAAAATTTTTATTGGGCCTAAATGACATCACACGAATCAAAGAAGCCCAAGTTAATTGTCATGTTATTTGAACTTTAAATTTAATTCTAAAATTTGAACAATCTACCGTTACTGTTAAAACAATATGTGAGGCCTGAATTCTCTGATTACATTCAGACCTTGAAGCCGACTATTAGGACTTCAAAACTGTGGAATGGTGCGTAGCGAAATAAATTGCAACTTTGACCCCTCATTTATTGTAACTAACCCCCACATGGGAATTGAGTTGTTCGCAGGGCACGACTCCTCTGCTGTTCACAAAGACCTTTAGTACTAGCAGGCTCCCAAAATTTAAGACCAGACACAACAAATATTAATAAATAATAAAAATTTTATATTATAATTCTCATCTGACTTCGAATCCAATAGAAAAATCATAATATTAATTTTAATCCAAATACTTGAAAGGTTTTATTTTGAGTAATCTATATTTCGGGGTAATCCCACATCGGATAGCCTTAAAAAAGTGTGTGTGTTTATATATACTTTGCAGCCTTCACCATTATGGTGTTGGTTGTAGTTGTCCTCTAATAAAAAAAATCATGTGTTCTAGGGTATCCGTTTGTGGGCTCTGCTAACCTTCCTCCTTTGTAGATCTGACCATAGGTCGGGTGAGGTTTTAGGACTTGGGTGGGTAAGGGCAGGGGCTATCCCATATCGGATAGCCCTTAGGTTGTGTGTGTGTTTATATGAACTCTGCAGCTTTCACCTTTAAAGTGTTGATCGTAGTTGTCCTCTAATCAACCAAAAAAAAAAAATTTAAAGAATTGAGAATTGTAGAATTCAAAATCCAACTCAAATAACCTATTTGATCCGAACAAAATCATTCAGCTAAATAAAAATCAAATCTAAATTTCAATTCAATTTCATAGATTCTTATATAATTAGAGAATTGAAACTACTTCTATATTAGAAACACATAGGCGCACACACACAGATATATCTAAAATATAAAATATGTCAGATTTTAATAAGTATATTCGACGATCTTAAATAGACTCATTCAATGACCATCAACATCACTCTTAAAATTATTCACATTATATGATATAATTGATTTAAATTCATATTTGAATAATTGGTCAAAAAACATTAATTTATATCTATGTAATCAAAATTGAGTCAGATTTAATATAAACTAAAAAATTAATTTATTAAAAAACATATCTCCAAAATATTTTCTATCAAAAAAGATCATCATTTGTAATCAATATAAGTTATTACAAAATTAAAAAATCTTTTTACTCGATTTTACTTGTATAAAGATCAAGTAAAATTTTAATTTATAAAAATACATTAATGTTGGGTTTTCTTAAGAGATAAAAAAAGAATTTAGTCTTGAACTTTTGATTCAATAGTTATATGTATCAAATATATGTAAGACATGTTAATTTGAGATATTTGATATAATTAATTAAATAAATAAAATTAAAATTAATTATAGTTAATATAAATGTGTTGGTGCCCCCTGTTAATATCTGTTAAATTGATGACCTTTTTTAATCAAAATTCAAATTATGCTCTCTACTGCATTTACTTCTTCGTCGGTCATGGGCGGCACACACACCTACACAGATGATATTAATGGTGACTTTGACTCATTTACTTCTTATGCCAAAGAAAATCCTTTGTTGCAAGATTTTGAGCTAATATACTGATATAATTTGGTGATCTAATTTACTGTGATCTTTAGATTGACTGAAAATTTCATCAAACATTAGAACTTGGTGATGATCTAATGATTTTTATAAAGTCACATCATTATGTCAACAAATTAAATAAATTTTTTTTCTCTAATTATTAAATACAAAGCATGTATAAAAGTTTTATATTTTTAAGAATAAATTTTATCCATACTCCCGATAGATAGTCTTAACTTTGACGATACCATTTCTAAATTTTAAAATTTCGCTGCACTCTCTTTTGGTTCGTATATTCATTTCAAATACACCATTTACCGTGTCGAATCGATGCTAATAATTAAAACAAAAAAGAGTGATATTATCATCATTTTCTTCAAAAATGTTAATTTTATCCCGTCTTCCTCACGACCACTCCACGGTCCACCCCCCTATCTTCCTCTATTTACACACACCATTGCACCACCACGCCACCCTTTGCAATACGTTCCCCTTCCTACCTTATTTACACACATCACTGCACCATCATGTTAATGTTCAATTTTATTAAATTAATACTAAATTAATATTTAATTTCATAAAATTAATTAGCATTAAATTGAACTTATATTTTATCATATTAATTAGCATTTAATTCATCTCATCAAATTAAACCAGAACCAAATTAACATTAATCAAATTTGCATTAACTTAACATTCATTAAATTAGTATTTAGAATGTTACATGCATTATATTTAAAGTATCATTGGAACAAAAAATTATTTTAGAGTATTTAAACATATTTTATCATAGCATGATTTTTGTCTTGCGTTAGCTAATTTTTAATTTTTTTAGAGTTTTACATGTTCTATTGAAAATGTTCTCAACTAAACAAACTCTGACACGGGGTGTCAATAAAATTTCAAAATCTGAAGGGAGTTTTGCTAAAGTTAAGCCTATTTAGAAAGAGTGTGTCACAAAATTTATCCTATTTTTAATTATACTTGATTTTATTATTTTAATGATTCGTCTACCAATATTATTCGTTATACTCCACACACATCTTGTGCAACACACACACAAAACAAGGGTAACATATATGAGAGAAATGTGTTTTATTATATATATAACTGAAAAAAAAAATTGGTATCAAACCTCAATTATTACATTTGTGGTTACTTTTATCATATTTATGAATTCTTTTATCACTGTTGTGATAATCCAAAAAATAGTTATTATAATAATGATAAAGACATTTAAAAATGTGGTAAAAAAACACACACAAATAGACATACTCATAAATGTGGTAATTGTTTTTACAAATAAAAAGTGATTAAAATAATTACCACAAATGTGATAAAAATACTCATAAAAATAATAAATTTTTTCGTTGTAAAAACAACTATTAAAGTGGTAAAAATTAGAAATATAGTATCGAAATTATTATTTCGGTACTGTAGTAAAGTCCATATATATGTGTTATTGAGATCTAATTTACTGGCATATTTTGTTGATCTAATTTATTATGATATTTAGATTGATTGTAGATTTATTAAATATTAAAATTTGACATTGATCTAATAATTTTTATGAAATTATATTATTATATAAAGAGAGAATGACAGGCAGATTCTTTTGGGACTTGATATTCTTTTTTCCCACATGCCATGCAACAGAACAGAGCAGGCTCAGGTTACAGCTTTTTGGAAATGTGTATACAAAAAGTGTAGATACACGCATTCAATTAATGTGATAAATGGCGTAAGAGCTACCTCTTGGTTGGTTCTTCCAAGGTAACAGCCAACAGAGCATCTGCTCATCATCATCCATGCGCTCTCTCTCTCTCTCTCTCTCTCTCTCCAATCAATTTATGTCATCTTTAGCAGAGCTTATGGTTTTGGTACTGTAAAATATATTTGGTGTTGTAGTGTTATGTATAATTTTAAATTTTTTTTATACAATTTTTAAAATTTTTTTATAAATTTTTAGAATAGTATGATCAATCTTAAAATTATTAAGTTCGATTTTAATAATTTTAAGATCTCTTCCTAGTACTAAAAGAATTATAACTTGATCCAAAAAATTTATAACTTAAATTTTAAAAATTATAAAACGACCCAAAAAATTTGTACACTTTTTAAAATACTCACAAAATTTATAAACTTTAGTATCGTACCTCTTTCGATATTGAAGTCGAATACTTACCCTTATGTGTATTTATTTTTTATCATATCCTATAGTATTGCATGAAATTTTGAAATCTAATTTATTAAGTAACAATTCAAATATTTTAAGT